CAGGGCTCCAGCTACTCAAAGGATTCTACTGGTAATGTAGAGTAGAGAATATAGAGAGGAGCTTATAGCCATATGTTCATGTCCACTGGAATTCTGATCTCTCAAGACATGCACAGCACAGGAGAAGACACAGTACGGCAGACAGCACCACACAATGTCGACAGCACATTACAACACGGTACATCATAAATCATAACAACCAGAACAACAGATACCTTGCAGAGAACAATAAATATGTGGTTGTTAAAAAAAAAACTGGGTAGTCCTAGTTAAAAGTGCATAGTGCAGAAGTGCATTGAGTTCTGAGGCATTAGGTAGGTAGCTGTTTATGATGCAGATTGCAATAGGGTAGAAGCTGTTTGTAGGTCTAGTGGTCTGTGCTTAAATGGTGCAGTACCGCTTGCCAGAACGCAGGGGGGACAACAGTTAGTGGCTGGAATGGCTGGGATCCTGAATGATGGATTGGGCTTTATCTCACCCAATGATGGTAAATCACATCCTGATCAATGATCCTCTGTGTCGTTGCCGCACCCCCCTTGTAGTGCGTCTCTGTCGTGCACGGTAGTGCTTCTGTGCCGCACAGTGGCACCGCTGGTGAGGACGCTTTCCATGCTGCTGCAGTAAAACTTCGTGAGCAGCTGCTTCCCCATAAAGGCTTAACCTGTGACCCCCCCAGGCAGCGGACGTGGGGCGACCTGGTGAGGCTAGTCTCGCGACATCTGATCCCAATGCCGAGTGAGGAGGATAGGGAGGCCCGGAAATATATAGCCCCAGACATCAGGACACACCGGAAGAACAAGGAAGAACAAGGGAAGCTAGGAACAGGGCAGAGAAGGAGCGTCCTCTAGATGAAGAGGGCGTGGTACTTCCTTTGTCTGGCTGTTGCCTGTTTGCTCCCGAGCACTTCTCTTTTCTTCCCACCGATTTGCCTGTGCTCTACTTCAGCTCCTGCTATAAACCTTCACAAGGCCAGGGCTTTTCTTTCTCCAGACCCCTCCCGAAACGAGTCTCCCACGTGAAGGGCTGTGGCCGGCCTCTCTCGGTCCTACCGCTGATGAAAGGAGAAGAGGAGAACTGAGGGACAGGGCCGCCTTCTGTCACACCCGCTGCGAGACGGATTCCTTCACACAAATGATCACAACCTAATCAAGCTCCAGCCGGAGGCAACTGTCAGGATCGTAATCCCTCCTCTTAAAGGCGCTCCGGCTCTTTCACATTTTAGTTGATCACGTGCACCTGCCCTCAATCCTGCCCCTCCTTATTTAAGCCGGGCGCTCTCGCTGCTCCCGGCTCTGCATTGGGAGACGGAGGCCCGCCTACAACCAAGTCACCCTACGCCCGCGGCTAGAGGGCACAGGCCTCATATCGGCGTCCTGACCCTGCTGAGTCCGGGGCTCAGAGCGCCTGACCTCGTCATCCTGCTTTTATTCCCCGGCCCTGCACCGGATCCCATTCCGGCTTTTAACTGTGTTCTGTTTTCATCTCGTTTGGATCACCCGGCTCTGGACTTTTGGACATCGCCCTGGTTTTTCCCTTGGACTCGTTTGGACTAGTTCGCCATGGCCACGCCCCCCCCCGAGCACCAGTTCACTGTCGTCACGCCCCCCCGTTTGTCAACCTGCCCTGATCCTCGTCGTCTCCTCCCTGTGTCCGTTTCCACTTACTTCTGGATTATACCGTCTGCATAGGGTCCTAACCTACAAATCGTAACATCAATACCCACAAGCGCTCTAATCAATTAACCAATCAGGACAGTTCACTCATTACCGCACCCTCTACCTCCTGAGATATTTAAGTCCTCTCAACTTCTAGATCATTGCTCGGTATTGGTAACTCCCTTGGAACGCCTTTCCTCACCTGTATTACTCTTCTCCTACCTTGACTGAAACCTTGGCCTCGAACCCAGAACTCGTCCTCGACCACGATCTCGTCCAATGGCTTG